CCTGGACCAATTTCAATAATTTTATCACCATTCGATCAGAAATATTTCTACGCATCTGTTGAATTTAAGACTTTATCATTCATCAAAATGTCAATATTGAAAACTGCACGACTGTGAAACTGTTGCTATTATAATTAAAATTATCACCGATTGCCTGCGAAAAGCGAATTCCCTAACACAGATTTCAAAGTTGAATTCCATCCGGTCTTACCAAACGTCGTTTATTCAATCACAGCGTGGTGAGTGGTGATGTTCTCCAGTACACAACAATAGGCTCCCCGCAAGCAGCTGGCTATCAAGGCTGGCCACAACCGCTGATCGGATTCAGTTCCAATCACCGTGTGTGGTGGTGGCCGGTAGTCGGCATCAGCCCACATGAACATCCATAGAAGGAGGAAGAAGCAGCACCGCTGTTGATCGGAATCAGTAGCTCTTCGTGAATCGCTGTGGGCCATCTATGCCAAGCGCATCACCCTCATTCCAAAAAACATACAGCTCACCAGCCTCATCTGTGTTTAACACCCTAATAGTTCAGCATTACTCAACCATCACGGCAAAACGGCCCTTTTCAGGACCACCATACATTTGTAAAAGAGTATTTTTTGGACATTTGTCAAGGTCATTAATCGAATGTCAGTTCCCATATCAAGATAGAGCTGGAACTAGCGTGTAACAGCTTTTGTAAACAATGACTTCTTTCGATGGTGTCTTGAAAGTCAAGCCTTGCCCACGCAAATCAACATCAAAATCAAGTAGGATAAGACTTTCCCTACCCGGCGGTAATGTTGGTTTGCGTGGGCGTGCCTTGAATTCCTAAAAATCAACGAGAGAAGTCATTGTTTACAAAAGCTGTTAACGCCTTATTCCAGCTCTATCTAGATATGTTTAAATCTTACATACCATGTTCTTGAAGACAACATTGGGGGTGCAATTTCAAAAACCAAAGTCGGTCGCGGCATGAAAGTGGTCTGATTTTGATCCAGAGAGGATGAATTTTAATTCTTATTACGCCAATCGATAGGAATTTTTTCTACGAATCTGTTAAAATTAAGACTTTATCAATTTCAACATGTCACTATTGATCAGAATCAGTAGCTCTTCGTGAGTCGCTGCGGGCCATCTACGTCAAGCGCGTCATACTTAAGAGTATAAACAGAGAGAACCCCGCTCAAATTTCTATTCCTACACCAAACACAAGCTCTTGCTGCTGTTAACAAATAAAATTTATTATATAAGACCACGTAGTCCTACGTCACCATTGCGTACAACCACATAGGGCTGTCCTTTGTAGTTTTTTTTATTTCGCATGCTAGAGGTTTGCTGTCTTTGGCAAAGTTGTAGAAAGTAAAGTTTTATAAAGAGTTGCCCGAGACATAAAAGCTGTACATTTTCAAATTACTGAGGTATACGAAGATTTGTACTTATTTGAAATTTCATGTAATATATTTATTTTTAGTACTCTACAAATTAAAATATTGTTCTGGAAACGATTTGATTGACTAGAACGGATCGACTACAAATTATAATAGTATTAATTCGAACGAATTTACAAAACATAATACCAGGCTTGCAATTACTCATTACAGCTAAAATGTTATTCGAAATTAAGAAACTATTAGGTATTATACGATTTTTTTTGTAAGATGCTGGAAGATGAGGTAAAGTTTGTGTATGACACATAAACCCTGTTAATTTTGCTTCCAGAGTGTCACAATTAGCGATTTGCTATAACGATGAGCGTGCACTCATTACGATTGCTCATTACAGCTAAAATTGCTTATTGTGACCTGGTAAAAGCAAAAATTAACAGGTTTTATGTGTCGTACATAAACTTTACCACCTCTTCCTGCGTCTTACAAATAAAAAATATCGTTATACTATCTCATAGTTTCATAGTTCCGAATAATACAATTTTAGCTGTAATGAGCAATTGCAAGCCTTTAATACTCAAAACACAGACAAACATACATAACGCATTGAGTATCGTCACTAAACTACTACCGCCATCTGGTGAGTACACTGTCATAGGCAGTACGCTCAACAGATGGTGGTAGTGTGTAAACGCCAAACTCAAGGGAATTGACTATGCGCGTCCACAGGCGGCCGTACTACCAACTGAGATAAATTTAAGTTGAGCGTTAAATGCGTGTTCTATGAAAACATGCAGGTTTTATGTCGGCTGTGCTAAAAACATGAATTTCACAAAAAAAGAACAAAACTTGGTATATCTCAGTAATTTGAAGATGTGCAGCTTTAATGTCTTCGGCAACTCTTCATAAAATATAACGTTCTACCGTATGCGTGATAATGATTGCACCATTAAGCAATGTCAAAATTTAACAAAATCTCAAAATTTCGTTTTCGAGTTTTTTTATTTATTCAAAGGGGGGATGTTTTTCAGAGTCTTAAACTATGTTAATCATCGATTGAGTTTCCCCTTGCTGCAATTACGGCCTCCACACGCTTCCGGAATGCATGGCAGGTTCTAATAATGTAGTCTGGATCCATTTCTCTCCGTGGTCGGGTCAATGTTAGTCTGAGGCTTGCTGTACTCGGGTGGCGTTTAGAACAGGCCTTGGCATTCATGACGCGCCATATTAAGTAATCCAGCGGATTAAGATCGATGCTGGATGGCGGCCACATATCCTTCGCCCAGAACGGAAGATGTTACTGCAACCACTTCTGAGTGCGGTTCGAGGTGTGGCACGGAGCCCCATCTTGTTGAAATACATCATTTGGCTTCAAACCGTACTGTTCTTTGATCCATGGAAGAACATACTTACTTCGGAAGCCACCAATCCAAACACCATAACGCTAGCAGGATGCTTGGTCAGATACACGTTCTTGTGCTCGTCGGCCACGCCTTTTACCGGAAGAGAACTAATATACCGGTCGGTTCTGGAATTTGATACGGGATCGACGGTAAACATGCTCTCGCCGGTGAACAGGACTACCGGATTTTTTCGCTTAAGGAAGTTCAAGATTTTCTTGCATCGTTCGACTCGTAGCTAACGGATGCAGTTGGTAATCATGTGAGTTTTTTTTTTCCGTGCCCTTGACTTCGCCCCGCAATCTTCCTTTACGATCTTCCGTGCCGTAAAATCACTGATCCCGTGTTCCTTTACCATTTTCCTTATTGAACGCACTGGATTCACCCGAATCTTCATTTTGATAGCAGCGATAACCCTCGGAACCCGAGCTGACCACGGAGGACCTGTGGCCACCATCGCGGATAGTTGTCCTTTCTTTTCTCGGTCTAAAACCCTTTTGACGGTCCACCGGGACACGCACACGGCAATTGAAATGTATTTTTGCGACATTGACGCTTGGGACAAATCACGAATACACTGCCACTTCGTCATGGTGCAACTGTCAAACTAAGTAAATCATTTTCTTTTATACACAGCCTACTAGGTTACGTGCATACAACGAAATGTTTGCACAGATGAAACGGGAACCTTATTTGTACAATGGTGCAAACATTATCACGCATACAGTACATATTTGCCCAAGACAGCAAACCTCTAGCGTGCAAAATAAAAAAAGCTGGTACCGCTGCGCCATCTTTGAGGCAAAAACTGGAACTAGTTTTATCCATCAAATTATAGTCCTAACTAAGCCAAGAAAAGTTACTGGAGACGTCAACTCAATTGAATGAAAATCCAGAGCATTATTAATTTGTACCTGCTTGATTCCATTCCTGGCCCACTGTGCAATGTTGAAATGGAAAATCCTCGGGAAAATCCAATCAACAACAACAAGGTATTCCATAGATGAGGGCATTCCTGTACGTAGATGTGGTAGCGTGGTATGTGTCTAAAAACTTTCCGTCCAGTAAATAACAGCTTTCTAGCGTATGAGACACGAGAAGCTACCAGTCTCGTCATTAACCTTCCATACCTACTAACCATTGGAATACAGAGAAGAGCGAAAGCTACTTAACAGCAGAATCTACTTCCATTCATGATTTTGCAGTCAGTGGAGGTGTTGCTCTGATCAAAGCACAGTTTTACTGGCCCATTTACTTTTTGATGGATTATTGCCTTCGGAACGTTTCAGTCTGGGGTAACTGCTTGTGCTGCACACTTAACACCTTCCAACACATGTAAACCCAAAACATACACTGACGATATTTGATACACCTACCCTGAAACAAAAACAACTTTCACACATCACCTAGGCCGTTTCTCCACAATCCGACAAACTTACTTTATCGCACTCAGTGGCATGCATGTGCGATTAGGTACCGCCTTCATCGTTGAACCATTGAACTTTGGCCCGCACAAGCAGAAACCTTCAGACGAATAAATTAGCATTTGCCGCCGGGTACCCAGTAAAATCGCACTCATCTAAACACACCGCATGACTTACCGCGATGATGCCAAACACGTCCACTCCGCCCCCGCAGATGCTCTGGGGGAAAAGTTCACACACGGCTGACTCTGTAGTGCCTACGTTTTCAATTGCACCTTTTGCACTACTTCTTTCTGTTATGTACCGCAAACGCCGATCCAACCGATCCGAACGGCGATGTGGCGGTCTAGATTCCGCTGCTTCCCGTTCCTACCGGTCCTGTAGCAGACCGCCACAATTCAATTCACGAACGTTACGAACCTCGACATCTAATCAACTGCTGCAGCTCTGGCAGAACTACTACACACCTTCCTCTCCAAGGACCATCGATGGTAGTAGGTGGTTCTTAGAAATTGCATTGGATGAGCGGTTACTTTCCATCAGACCGTGATCTGTATCGGTTCACTGCGAGCGAAAAGGACTTCCTTTGGAATTTGGATTTTTCATTAATCTGCTGTGGTCATATTGGATTGGATAATTCGGACACAAAATGTTCAAGGAAGCATGCGATCCTCTGAAGCATACCAGCATGTACCAGAGGGCGGAAGAAGGTCGTTTTTGCGATACATATAGGAGAAACATTGTCTAATTATACGGTGGTGGGAAATAGTTTTCTAATTGAGTGTTGTATTCTGGTCTCGTTGCAGATAGTGAGGACAGCGATGGAGAAGGAGGACTTGGAAACGTTAGCCGAGTCATCATTCGACCACCAGGTAAGTTTGTACAGTGTTCAGCAATTAATCGCAATGGGAATTGAAATTTAGGAAACAATTGCAGATTGAAAAACAAAAGTTTTAAGGGAAGTGATATTAAAGTAATCGAGGGCCACATCAAATGAATTCTCTACCACGTTAACATAAAATGAAAATTATTCCAATAGTGTTATATTTTTCAAACCTTGAGTGTGATTACTTGGTGAGTTTTCATTCTGTGGAGGATTTGCATTTAACACGGATTTTGCCGCTAATATTTTTCATCAAAATCATTGATGAGCGGATAAAGTTGGTTGACTAGCAAAATTAAATTAGGTAACATATAAAAAATTAGCTTTTTTCGTAAACATTTAGAGGTGACGCAAGCGGTCTAAGTCCAAAATGTCGAATGATGAGCTTTTTCAAATAAAACACATTAAGTTTTCTGACGTTTATAACACGCACACTTGCGTAATCCCATTTTCAAGTGCGATCTTTGTTATCCTCACTTTCGCTCCAGCCAAAAATGTTGGTTTGTTATTGTTATCCTCATTTTTGGACCATCAAACTCGTGCACATAGAATGGACTATAATATATTATATAATATATTATAGGGTAGAGAACTACTTCGGCCTAATCGCCCATTTTGGGCCTATCGAGCAGAAAACTTCAAATAAATCCTTCATTTCAGAGTTAACAAGTCAATTGTGCGTTTGGTACGATACTTTAGTTTATAAGCTACGGAACGAAGTCAATGAGAACGCGTGATATGAAGGTTTGCACCCATTATTCCCAGAAACAAAAGAAGCGCTCCGACCGAATCAATTTTTATCTTCATCCGATAGGCCGAAGTGAATTCATTGCCGTTTCAATGGCGTTTCAATGCGTTAGGCCGAGTTTAGAATCCGTAGGCCGAGTTTGGCGTCAAGAAGCAGCGTTAGACTTTTGACAATATCTCAACGATTGGTTTCTCTTTATCAAATCTTACGGTACATACGGAAAGGTAAATAAATTTGGAAGCCATCAGTAATAATAACATTCCGTTTGGTGCTAAACTGCGCTAGATTAAGAAAGACTAAGTGCGGGTTGTGCTTAATAGGCCGGAAATGGGGTAGTTAACCCTATGGCTTCTATAAGTGAACCTGTTTTTTGACGTAGGACTTCGTCTGTGATTTCTATATGGGGGTACACTTTGTGAAAACCGAAAATGTAACGAAATTATGAAAGATTTTGAACGTTAATAATTCAGATGCCCCTGGACCAATTTCAATCATTTTATCACCAATCGATCAGAAATATTTCTACGCTTCGATAACAATGCTTCAACAAGAAACTATTAAAAAAGGGTTAGTGTCAAGCATTGTCCAAAAGCGTCGAAATAAGTAACAAATCCACCATGCTGCTTCCCCAACACTGTCATCAGAGAGTCGTTAGTAGACGAAACAAGTCGAAGTGGCATTCGCCTCCGATTTTCGGGAGGATGCAATTGCGTAACACTTTGCACACTCATCGCCATATTCCGAACCACACGCCCCCAACGACCACACAAAATGCTCTCCAGAGTTGTAATCTTGTAACCAAACTTAAAAGCAGGGATGCAAGTGAATTTGATCGATTCTCTTCATCGACTTTCTGTTTCGTTAATAACTCGACGGCAAACACATTCGTTGATACGTTTGTTGTTCTGGATGATAGAAGAGCATAGCAGAAATAGTGCAAAATAGACTTTCACCCCTCTGCTTCTAAGCCCCTTTATTCAGTCATCGTCATAGCAATGAAAACCAACTTCGCACCGCTTTTGGTTCTTGCTGGTTGCAATTCTTGGACATTTTCGAAGGACCACCAAAAAACATGAAATTGCACTATTTTCTAGGGATACCTAAAAGTCCAATTATTCGATTAACGATTAATCGTAAAGATTTTTCCAGCTATTCGATTAAATATTTATCAAATTTTCAACTGTTCGACCGCGTAACCGTCATCTCTTCTTATTTCTACTCTAGCGCAGTAGAGAAAATAAACAAAAGTACTAATTTATCTGAACAGGCATAGAGAAGAACCATGACGTGAAACAGGATCATAAATTTACCGAAAAAAGTGTTAAGCGTCTTTCTGCTAAAGGCTAAGATTTACCAACTTGTTGAGAGAAGTTTAAAGAGAAAAACTAAAACGGGCTGGGTAGACAGTGACAGTGACAGACTGATGCAAAATTTGAAAATTTTGCTCCACAGTTTTCAAACGGTTTCAAATCGGGTCCTGATTAGCCTCTGAAAGTTTAAATTCATTTGATAAGAAACTGACTTGGCACAAACCATTTGAAGTTTATATGGAAATGACTATGGGAAAACAAAACTTTTTGTTCATTGTGTTCTAGCCTTTTTCCATATTGTACTGTTAACAAATTCTATTACTATTCTTATGGGAATTTTTATCAGCTACAACTTTGCAGAGAATCGTTTTTCAGCCAAACGTCAAATTAAATAGTTATTAATTGTTTAAGAGATTGATAATCTTATGGCAAGATAAACAACTGTATTGTGGGCAACACTGCATTCTGCAGTGTGACATAGTAGCCATGATTTTTGTCCTCTATTCTACGTGCCATAAACACCAATGTTGCCTGCTGAACAGTTGATTGAGCATAATCATAAGACATCAGTGACTTGAATCATTAATAATTTTTGTTCCTTACATTTGATCGAAAAGTGGTCTTGAACAAAGTTGTAGCTGAGAAAATTTTTAACAAACTCAGCTATCATTTTCTAAAGTAGAGTGAACTGGTGAATTTTGAGATAGATATGAACCGAAATTATGGTTTCTCCATAGTAATTCCCATGTAAACTTCAAATGGTTTGTGCCAAGTCAGTTTCTCACTAAATGAGTTCAAATTTTGGGAGTGGAGTGTGGAGTGAAAATTTCAAATTTTGCTTCAGTCTAGTGGACACTGATATTCTGCGGCCTTCCCAACTTGTCGCAGACACCAGTTCAACCCCTGTCCAGCAGCAGACGGGCCGAGACTCACTACCTTGGTGCTCCAATTACTACACTAACTTACCAGCCTTAATTGTTATAATATATATATCAAAGTGTTATTACATTGTTCCTCCCTTGGCAATTCAGTATTTTAAACTGTTGCATGTCAATATAACAATTGACATCTTAAAACAAAAAACTAGAACTAAATCCTATCTAAGTATAAAGGAAATTAATGTCTGAAATTATTAATTATTACATTGAATATTTCTTCCAAATGTACCTCGGTAGTACTGTACCAGGGAGGCAACTTCAGAATCATCTTCAGAATTTTGTTCTGTATCCTTTGAAGTACTTTTTTCCTTGTATTGCAACAACTAGACCAGCGGCGCCGGCGGTGTAGCGGTATGCGTGTTTGCCTCTCGCTCCAAAAGGAACTGGGTTCAATCCCAGTCGGCACCGCCAGGATTTCCCCGGTCCATGAGTTGATGGGTCGATAGGTAGGGTCCAGGTGTGGGAGCTGCCTCCCTGGCGTTGGTAGCATTGGTACTCAGTACGGAAAACAAGATCGACGGAAAACATAACAAGATAATATTGGCACAGCGTAAAGCATAGCATGGCCGGTCTAAAAACTTGTTCAAATATTAGAAGTTCATTCTTCAGGCAAAGTTTGGATTTTTTGTTTATAAGAGGATACGAACATTTTAAATATTTATCACATTTGGCTTGAATGCCTGAAATGTGACTTTAAAAGGTTGCTGATCCTCACAGTCACAGCGAAGCACAATTCGTTATATATTCCTCTCGCTGTTGCTGAAGTAGTGGTGCAGGAGAGCGGCTCTCGCACTCTTCTCGTGCACGAAAATAGGTATATCTCCCACAGTCCTACATTCTCTCGTCGTTCGCTGAATTACGGCTTTAGGCAAACCAACAATCGTCACTCATCCGCTTATTCATTACTGAACAAGTTTAGTTGGGTCCATTCAATTCGATTGCTATTCATTTCTGGGTAATCTGCATAAAGAATTCAAGACCCCAGTCGCCATGAGCGTTCACGGCGATGCGATGTACTGAGTTGGACGCTTGAGTGGTAAACGGGAAAAAATCACCGACAAACCGACATGAAACTTAAACTTAACTCTTGATCGAAAATCCATAACGGCCGATTCAAATGTGCAGCGATCCCATCTGTCAAAACCATATAAATGTTTTATCTAAACAAAATAGATTAGACACGAACCAACTCATAAATTTTGAACGCGTGATTGTGGCTAAGATAAATATTTTCCGCGAACACGGCGGCAATTTATTTGTAATTTGTATGATCATTCATGTCGGTTTGTCGGTGCTCAAGTCCGAATTTCGGAACAAGTAAATTTTTCGTTTATGAATAACTTTTGGGTCTTGTCACCCTGTCCAAGTTTTAAAAAAGAACTCTTACTCGTTACACTGTTAACAATCAACTGAACTGTTTATTAATTATCAAATAAAACGAAACCTATCGCCCTAGCTAATTACTGCTGCGTAAGAACCTATAGGAATGCGGTCACTGCCCAAGTAGCAATTGGGGTTTTATGAGGGTTCTACAGACTATGATTTAGCCTTGTAGCATGCTTTAAAACCGTGATAAAACTTGCAATGTTACTTGGGTGTGTTGCTAATGCATGGGCAATGAAGTGCTGAGGTGGCTTCCGTCGCGTGGTCCTGGTCGGAGACATCGATGGTTACGTGAGAATCATGGTGGGTATATAAATGGTGATACAGCTTTGTCACTATATAGGCGAGGAGGTCGCGGGGGGAAAAGTGCGGTTTTAGAGCAAATTGTAAACAAACTCGGTCGCTGTCCCATACAAAAATCCAACATGGCTGAATCATGAATTTGACACATTAGAACACCTATATGTAGTCACCTTGGTGCGAATAACCGCATGTGCATCCGTGCTACTTAGTGTTGCTGGGTAGTGTGAATAACTGACCATCAGCTGGAAAGGAATCTGCCGGAATCTGCGCACGGTGGTTGGAGATTGAATGACACGAGAATGCAGTA